TTGACAATTGAGGAGAATATTTAAAATACAATAAATATAATAATATAATATTAAACAAATCATACAAATTGATAAATAAAAAATAAAATAACCACAAACAAAAATATAAGGATAAAAGCATACTATGAATTTAAAACACATTACTAACATAATTTTTTGAACTTTTATTATTAAGAAAAATCAAATATTTTTGAATTCTTATAACTATTAAGAAAATAAGCATATATTTTTTTTGGTTTTTTTAAAATTAAAAAAAAATAAAGAAATAAAATCTCTTTTCCAAGAGGATGAATACTAATTTATTACTTTTAAGAAAAAGGAAATAAAACAAAGGATAAAATTAAAATATAACGTAAAAAATGTTGTTGTTTTTATTATAAACTATGCCTAAACTTTAATAATAAAAACTTAAACCAACTCTAAAAAAAACAGATCAAAAAGGGATTGGAAAGAAAGAAAGGAAAGATGAAGCTCATCAAGATAAAAAAAAACCCAGTTCAACCCTCAAAAGGGAGGCGGGTCAAGAGACCTATTTGGATCTCAACCGACCCACTAGAGGTAACAAAACCAACCAAACTCCAATCCTAGCATAAACCGCTGATACTTTTGCTTCAACTTCACTGAACGTTCAAAATAAAACCAAAAGAAAAACGATCTTCAGCAAATCATCCCTCATTCTTGAATGCTCGCCCTCCCCCATCTCAAATGCTTGCTTTCTCTTTTCTTTCTCTCCCTCAATCTCACTCAGTCTATCCCTATTTTAATCTCCCTCTTGCGATTAACTATTCACTCGGTATCTCCCTCGAAGAAAACATATAGAAATAGATCTAAATATCATAATCCCCAACATACCAACTCAATGGCATTCGTCGATTAACAACAGACAAAGATAAACAAATGAAGTTAAATATTTAGATTATGAGCAAGATTCAGAGGGAAAGACTACAAAACCGTAACCAGATTGGCTACGACATGTACGTTTTTCCTCTTAGCTTAAGCTACTAGTCTCCTCCAATTTCTCTTCTCTTATCCCTCTTTGTGATGGTCTGTGTATGAGTGTTTTAGTTGAGAAAATCTGTTTTTGAGCGCTAGAAATGTTAGACTTACTTTTTTAGAAATTTGTAAGGCTTTGTGATATGTTCTGTTTGGTGTTCTTAATGAAGTGTGTTTGAATATTGTGACTGTTTTTAGTATCAGGAATGTGTGCTAATGACTACTAGGTTGACTGTGATTTTTTACCTTTCTCTAGTGTGTATAAATGAACATGTGATAGTGGCTAGGGTCTTTATTTTTAGAGAATCACTGTTGAGATGCCTTCTCTTTTTAATTTGTTATTGTTGCTTTTATAATGAAAGAACTTTTGAATTTGAATGGTTGTAGGTTAATAGATATGGAAGGGATGCAGAGCATCAAAGTGATTTGCCCTATGCTTTGCTATTTTAATGAAACAGTAATGTTGTATTTTTCTGCATCTTTGAACTTGTCTTGTTGTGACCAAAGTTTACTGTACTTTTCATCACCTTTCTACAACAATATTTTCTACTTCTTGTTTTTTTTTTGCAAAATTTTTGGTTATGCCTTAATTGCAACAAGCTTGTCCTAATTTCTCTCTTTTGGAATTTGGTTGATTATTTACATTGTTTTGGGCATTATTTGGACTGAATTTTCTCTTGTTTTGCTATGTACTTTATGGTGGAAATGGCTCTTGTATTGGTGACCTAAATGCTACTTGACGTTACCAAGGAAGAAAAAAAGAGTCTTGAAAATCTTTAGAATTAGGTCTTGAGAGAATTAGGGATTACGTCTAAATCTCTTGTTTTGTTATAAGATCAAAAGACATCAATATTATTCTTGCTGCTGGTAAACCTTTGAGACAATGTAAAAGGAATCTTGATCAAGAATGATATGGAAAGAAAATTTATGACATGTGCCCTTTTTTTTTTTTAAATTTATGTAATATGAAATGCAAGGTGAGAAGTGTGAAATGAATACTTGCTACTTAAGATTAAAAATGTGAAATGAATGACAATATGAAAAACGAATACCATGCTTTATCATTTCAAAATTTAAATTCAAATATGACATGCAAGACACACTTCCCAATTTACTTTTAATGAAGTCTCAAAAGTATAAAAACAATACCCATAATGTTCAAAGGAAAAAAGATCAAAAATGATGAATGCATGGACAATGATGTGTGGCCTTAAAGTAATGAATGTAAATCTCATGATTCAAGACAAACCCTAAATAGACTCAAAAATGTGACACATGAGAGACAAAACATGCACATGGAATGCTACTGAGGCTTCACTTGTCTTGATATGGAATGCAAAAATGTGACCACTCGAATGATCAAACAAAAGTCAAATTATTGACTTCTTACACTAAAGAGCAACCATTAACCAAATGAAAATGGTGATGCAGATGAAATATTGATGAAGTGATGAAGATGTATGAACATATGCAAGGAGAGAATGCTAATGAAAGTTCTTTTTGGCAGGTGGAAATGTAGATGGCTGATTTTGGGAGGAGAAAAAATTCAGGGTACGACATATACTAATACTTTTGCCCTCGTGGATGAACTTTCATTCATATTATTATATCTCTTGCTGCCAAGCACCACTAGCTCTTGTTTCAATTAGATGTAAAAAATGATTTCTTGCGTGGTGATTGATTTACAAGAGGGGGTGTATATGGAGCAACCACCTGGTTCTGTTGCTCACGGGGAGAATGAACAAGCATTTTGTTTAAAGAAATCATTGTATGGATTGAAGAAATCACCTAGGTCTTGGTGTGAGAGATTCAGTGAAGTGGTATTGGCATTTGGAATGAAATGATGTCATAGTGACCATACAATATTTTTTTTTATAATAAAAGCAATTCTTTGGAAATATCTTACTTTTGGTGTATGTTGATGATATTGTAATTACAGAAAGTGATAGCAAATAAATTGAAAATTTGAAGGCTTTCCTCAAAACCAAGTTTCAGACCAAAGATCTAGGAGTCTTGAAGTGCTTTTTGGGCATTAAAGTTATGTATTCAAAGAAGGATATTTTTCTTTCACAAAGAAAATATGTTCTGGATCTATTGAGTAAAACCGGTATGATAAGATCCAAACCATGTGAGACTCCTATAGAGCCTGGAGTTAAGTTGACAGTGGATGGAACTCCTTTCTCAGATCCACAGAAGTATATAAGATTGGTGGGAAAATTGAACCACTTGATTATTACAAGACCTGATATTACTTTTCATATAAGTGTTATAAGTCAGTTTATGTTGTCTCCCACTGATACTCATTGGGAAGCACTAATCCACATTGTTAAATATATGAAGAAAGCTTCAGGAAATGGAATTGTGTACAAAGATCATGAGCGTATGTAGGTGGAGGTTTTTCTAATTCTGATTGGGGAAAATATCAAGTGGATCGAAAGTCTACCGCAATATATTGTGTATTCTTCAGAGGTAATTTGATATCATGGAAAAGTAAGAAACAAAATGCACTTGCAAGATAAAGTGCAGAAGCAAAATATACGACCATAGCTCAAATGACTTGTGAACTGATATGGGTAAAACAAAACTGGAATGAAATTGGATTTGAGAATAATTGTCCTATGAAATTGTGGTGTGATAACCAGGTTGCCATACATATTGAATCAAATGCGATCTTTCATGAAAGAACAAAACACATTGAGGTAGACTGTCATTTCATCACATATAATGTTTGATAAAATCTCATATCCACTTCCTATGTTAAGACAAGAGATCAATTAACTTATTTCTTTACCTAGGCATTGAATGAAGTGCGCAATAATTTCATTTGTAACAAACTGGATATGATTAATATATATATATATATATATATATATATATATATATATATATATATATATATATATATATATATATATATATATATATATATATATATATATATATATATATATATATATATATATATATATATATATATATGTTTCACCTTGAGGGAAAGTGTTAGAGTTATATTATTATATTATTAAGATTTAGTATTAAGTATATGGATTATGCCATTTCTCTTTCTTATATACTAGTACTATTTAAATCTGTTAATATAAATATGAGGGTCACTACAGATTATAATGCATTTGATTTATTATTCATATTCTTTCTATACTAATAAATATGGATACATCAATACTACATGATAAAAGAATTTAACAAAAGTACTCCCTCCAATCTCAAATATAAACAATAATTTTTTTAATGCTCTTAAATATAAAAAAAAGTTATCTATAATTATTATATTCAATACCATTATTTAGAATATACTCATATTCTTTCACATTTCTATATTTTTAACTATTTCCAAAATTAAAAGTAACTGTAAAATTAATAAAAATGTAAGAGGGAAATACACTTAGACATTTTTTTTAAGGATAATATATTTTTTTAATTATTACTTATGAAACCGAAAGGAATATCATTCTCTTTTTTACACCTTCAAAATAAATTTCCAACTTTCTCTCAAAGAGACCAAACACTAAATAAGTTTTCATTTGTTCCTTTCAAAAACAAAGTTTGTCTTTGTTCGCATGTGCATAATGCGATGTCGCTTAATTCATTGTAGATATAAATGGAGACATGATGTCCAATTATTTTAGCTAAAATCTAGTTTCCTAAAAAGTCTTTAAATAAAAAAATAGAAAAATGAATATACACCAACACTATCAATCACTTAAAGGTAAAAATATTTTACACCGGAGACCGCGTTACTTTTAGTCTCTAGAAAAACTATTCCTAAAACTAAATGTATATAAGTAATTTTACACTGATGTATATTATGTATATAAAAGTAAAACTATATACTAGTTTATACACTAATATAACAACTTTAAAAAGAAAACACTGAAGTTTACATAAAATGAAAGTTCTAGCTAGCTAGATAGAAATTACACTCGAATTTAAACATATTCCAAATATGGGTTGACATTGGAACTTCTGGAAAATATTATTTCCAATTTTTATCCACCAGTGTGACTACGCTTTTCAATCCTCACAGGGAAACCACCTTTCATTAACGAGGTAAGGTGTGCAGTGTACTCCGGCTCAACCCCTTTTTCCATCGCCGGAACCACCCTAAACTCCTTCATAACCCCCGCAACCACCCTCTTCATTTGCAAGAACGCCATTTCTTTCCCTAAACACACCCTTGGTCCCGCCTGAAAAACCGGATAACTATAAGGATCCATTCCAACAAAGCTCCACGTCCCATCCTCATCCCGACGCAACCACCTCTCCGGTCGAAACTCAGCCCAATCGGGTCCCCATATTTTCTCAGACCTTCCCATAGCATATACATGATATGCCACTCTCCACCCTTTCTTCACTGAAGTCCCGTCTGGTAAAACATCGTCGTAAGCTGCTTCTTTAGTATCCACCGGAACAGGAGGATACAACCTCATACTCTCACATAGTGCCGCGTGAGTATAAACCATATCCTTCACCTCATCATAACTAACCGATTCCGATTTTGCAGTAATTTCTTTGAGAATCTCATTCTCGACGTGACTATGTTTAGAGAGTAACCAAAAGAACCACGTGAGTGCTGCTGAAGTTGTATCTCTTCCAGCAAGAATAAAGCTTATTACAATATCAATAACAAATGATTCATCTGAATGTCCAGAGCTTAAAAATCGCGATAAAAGATCAACTGATTCCAAAGCTGATTTTTCTAAAAGCTCTTTTTTCTTTTCCTTAACTATTCTTGTAGCGAGTCCTCTTACTTCAGCTACTGCTTCTTTCAACCTGCGCTCAGTTCCAATGTTTAGGATTTTCTTCACCTTCCATATCAATGGAACCGGAGCGTTGAATCTCAAACTGGTGATTCGCGTGCCATCATCGAAGGCTTTTGCAAAAGCGGTATCGGGTAGAGAAGGGAGGAGATACTCCGGATCGAATCCAAACGCGATTATGCAGATGTTATCGAAAGTAAAACGCTGAAGGATATCTTGAAAATCAGGGAGGATAGTATGAGTTTTAGAAGCTTTAGAGAGAATAGGGAGAAGGCGGTCGGAGAGTTCTACTTCAACTACTGTTTTAACAAATTTGCGAAGTGATTTAGCGTTGAATTCATGGCTGGAGATTTGTCGTTGGACCTTCCAGGTTTCACCGTCCGCGTTGAAGATGCCGTTACCGAGGAAATCACCGACGGAACGGTTAAGTGTGAGACCTTTGCGATAGCAAGGGAAGTTGGTTTTGAGAACGTGTTGGACTACCAAAGGGTTTGCTGTGAAGACTTGGCGGGAGCCGAAGGTGCGGTGGAGGATGAAGGTTGAGGAAGGGGTGGTCTGAAGGATGTCGGAGATCCATTGAACGCGGCGGTGAAAATTGGCTGCAAAAGAAAAGACGGAACCGAATATGGGATAAGATTTGGGAATGGTGGTGTTGGTGGCAGAGGAGGGTGGTTTTAGGGATTTGGATTGTGTTTTTGTGGCTAACAGTAAGAACCAAAGGAGACTTGCAGAGAGAAGTAACCATGAAACCAATGTTTCGAGTTCCATTTTAGGACGTTAGTTAGAGAGAGGACGTTAGTTTAACTTTGCTCTATATATAACAACCCACCAAGTGAATAATAACTTAAATTTATAAATTTGTCATATTATATTTCATTAATTTAAAATTTACATTATGGTATAGTAGAATATATGAGAGTAATCTATTGATAGTGGAAAGTGTATACCAATTAAATTAATAATAATAATAATAATAAGGGTTAAATATGTTTTTGGTTTTCATAAATATTGTAATTTTCAATTTTAATTCTTAAAAATTTTTTCATCAAACAATGATCGTCATAATATTTTTCTTCCGCACTTTTGGTCTCTTCTGTCAACATCCGTTAACAAAAGTTGAAGTGATAAGCTACGTGAAAATCTTTTGATGACTGGACGCATACATGGTAGTGCCAATGTGAAAAAGATGTTAACCTTGTATGTCATGTGGCCATGGTCAACATTATACTTAAACCCATAAAAATTATAACTGATTGATAGCTAAAATCCTAGCTAATTTGTAGCAAATTTAAAAACCAAAAAATTTTAACTGCAACCAAATTTAATAATGACACTACAAACAACTCCATGGCTTATCAAACTAAACATTGTTTAATGAATCCACAACATCGAACTTAACATTCTTTTCCTATAAGATGTTATTCTCTGTGCATGATGGTGAATTCAAGTCGAATTCTTCAGCTGAAAACTGCAGTTGGTGCAGCAATAAGGGTAACCATAGTTTATTAACATATAATGTTCTCTCTACTATAACTTCCTTTTTTGCTATTTAAAGATAAGAATGAAGGCATAGATTTTTAAATACAAGTTATTAACATTAATCATCAATAGTTAATTAGAAAACTAACCGAGCCGCAAACAGGAAACTAGCTATGCAAAAGCACTGCAAGTTTGGTAGTTATGGATTTTCAATCCTAATCAGCTTGATCTATTTTGACACATGAAAGATCTGTGCTAAACTAGAAATAAGAGAAATCTTTGAAATCAAATCTGCAGTATATTATTAGTTATTATGCTTTGAACCTGCTTTATGTTGGATATGCAGACACGTAAATAAATCAAATTCCATCTTCATATTTCTGAAAAATAAATTTTGATGTAGTTTTTTAATTATAAAAGTTAAAGTAAAAATGAACATATTATCCTTAATATGATGCAGACACACCAACATTAAGCATGAAACGGTCCCATAACAAAAGTTTTCTACACGTTGCATTTTTAGATTCTTATAATATAACTCAGACCTTGCCTGGACTCAAACGAAACGAGGATCCTTTTGTGTCTGGTTTTTTACTATTCCTAAACCTTGATTTTATTTTTTATTTTTTACTTCATAGCACAACTCATTCAAGCTATGAAGTAAATAATGTATTTTGTTCCATTAGAAAGCTATGGGTCAACGTGGTAAGTGAAAACAGGAATCCAACGGTATGGTAATCGAATACATTGCCCCAACCTTAGTTAATGGAGAAATAGAGATCGAAATTGAAGATGAAGATGTTGAATCCGAAATGAAGTTCTGGGAATATGCTCTGATAATGTATGTTCTTGGTAGGGATTTAAGTATGAACACGATAAAGCAGTTTATGGTAAAAACTTGGAACTTTTTTCAACTCTCAAATTTGTACTACCATGATGATGGTTACTTTCTCCTCAAATTCAAATCACACAAGGATATGAACACTGTTATGATGAAAGGACCCTACACCATTCGTAACACGCCTATGTTGCTCAAGGAGTGGAGGCCAGATTTTAAACTTAAGCAGGACATGTCGCGAACACTACTGATATCACTACGCCAGAAATCACTTTTAGCAGCGCATAGAAAGACATCGCTTTATACAAAAGCGCTGCTAAAGGGCCAGTAAAAAAAAAAGAAAAAAAGCGCCTACCAAAGACAGCGCTTTTAAAAAAGCGCTGCTAAATGGTGGGCCTAAGAAAGCGCTTTTAAAAAGCGCTGCTAAAGGGGGGGCCTACGAAAGCGCTTTTCAAAAGCGCTGCTAAAGGGGGACCCTTAGAAAGCGCTTTTTATATAAAGCGCTGCTATATGGAATTGATAAGGCACCCTATGAAAGCGCTTTTAAAAGCGCTGCTATAAGTATTCATATTATAATTTTAAAATACCCTCCAAAATTTTAATAGAATCAGAACAATCACGAACACATTTCTTCTTTCTCTGGCGAACGAAAACGAACGAACGAACCACTGTTCATCGTCTGACCATCAACTTCTTCCGTCCGATCATCCTTCCGACCATCACCGACCGTTCACCGTCCGTTTTTGAGTTCATCCATCCGTCTGCATTGCCGGTCCACCATTGTTACGGTACGTGAAGCTTTACTCTGCTTTTCTTGTTTTTTTTATCTTTTCACCATTGTTGTTCTGATGATATATAGATGGTTTTTATCTTTTCAATGATGGTTTTTGTTGTTGTTGTGTTAGTTGTTGTTGTGTTAATATGATGGTTTTTGTTGTTGTTGTTGTATTTGATATAGATGTTTTTATTGTTGGTTTATATTTGATGGTTTGTATAGATGGTTTATATTTGATATTTGATATTGTTGGTTTATATAGATGGTTTATGTTGTTATTGTTGGTTTATATTTGATATAGATAGTTTATATAGATGGTTTGTATAGATGGGTTATATTTGTTATTGTTATTTGATATTGGTTTATATAGATGGTTTATGTTGTTATTGTTGGTTTGTATTTGTTATAGTTGATATAGGTGGTTTATATTTGTGTTATATAGATGGTTTGTGTTATAGTTTATATTTGTTATAGTTTATATTTGTGTTGTATAGATGGTTTGTATTTGTTATAGTTTATATAGATGGTTTGTATTTGATATAGATGTTGTTATTGTTGGTTTATATTTGATGGTTTATATAGATGGTTTATATTTGATATTTGATATTGTTGGTTTATATAGATGGTTTATGTTGTTATTGTTGGTTTATATTTGATATAGATAGTTTATATAGATGGTTTGTATAGATGGTTTATATTTGTTATTGTTATTTGATATTGGTTTATATAGATGGTTTATGTTGTTATTGTTGGTTTATATTTGATATAGATAGTTTATATAGATGGTTTGTATAGATGGTTTATATTTGATATTTGATATTGTTGGTTTATATAGATGGTTTATGTTGTTATTGTTGGTTTATATTTGATATAGATAGTTTATATAGATGGTTTGTATAGATGGTTTATATTTGATATTTGATATTGTTGGTTTATATAGATGGTTTATGTTGTTATTGTTGGTTTATATTTGATATAGATAGTTTATATAGATGGTTTGTGTAGATGGTTTATATTTGTTATTGTTATTTGATGGTTTATATAGATGGTTTATGTTGTTATTGTTGGTTTATATTTGATATAGATAGTTTATATAGATGGTTTGTATAGATGGTTTATATTTGATATAGATGTTGTTATTGTTGTTGATATTTGTTGTTGTTGTTGTTATTCTGAATTACAGGTATATTATGGCCAGCAACGAGGAAACATCACATGATGGAAAAGAAACACCCAAAGACGTTGAAGGCGAAATTAAAAGAGGCATAACGATAATGAAAAGTATCATCCGTGCGAGAGATAGAGGTGTAAAGTACGATGTCCATTGGAATGAAAGAGATCAGTTGGTTGAGCCTAATGGTGCGCTGCTGACAAGTTATATTGGAGCAGTTGTACGTTCGCAAGTTCCGATTACTTGCGATAACTGGAGAATTCCTGCATTAAAAGCGGCTAAGGATAAAATTTGGATCGAGATTCAAGTATGAGATTTGATCATTTTTAATTATGTTGACAGTTACATCTTTAAATTAATTATATTAACATGTTATATGTATGTGTATTTGTTTGCAGAGATCTTTTAATATTGAGGATTCTAGGAGAAAATATTGTATTCAGTTGGCCGGAAAACGCTTGAGGGGATTTAGAGCGTTTTTAACCAACAAATATCTTAAAGATTCTGATGGCAACTTTGTAGAGTCGGAGCGTCCAGCGAAGTACGCTGATTTGATTTCGGATGCAGAATGGGAGACATTTTTTGCGAAGCGAAGAACCAAAGAATTTGAAGTAAGTACAACTTATCATGTACAATGTATAGTATATATACCTATTCCACAAACAAACTGATATGACTTAAACTTGTTTTTTCAGGTTAAGAGTGGCGTAAATCGGGAACGGGCATCAAACCCTGCGTATCCATATAGAAAGGGGCATTTGGGATATGCACGCTTAGAACAAAAGTTAGTAAGTGTATATATATGCTTTAATATGATCTATTTACAAAAAATAGTAAGTATACATAATAGGATATAATGCTTTATTGTTCGTCTTAATGCGTAGTTGGAAGAGGAGAAAAGTGATGCGACATCTCTTCCGGACCATGTCGTATGGAAGGCTGCCCGGGTGGGAAGAGATGGAGCTGTCCAAGAAGAAGTTCAACAAGTGTTTGAACAATGTGTAAGTACAACATTAGTTTTTGAACAAAGTGTTTGAACAAAGTGTATAAAATATTTAAATATTCTTTTATCTATATTTCAGGAGTCCCTATCCCAGACTATAACTCCTGCTGAAGACGATGATTGCAGGAGTTTATTGAGTCGGGTGTTGAATATTCCTGAGTACTCTGGGCGTGTGAGGGGCAAGGGATTTGGTGTCACTCCATCCAAACTGTATAAGCAGCCAAGGAAAAAAATCCAACCAATAAAGAAGTGATGGCTACTTTGGAGGAAATGAAAGCTCAAATTCGTGAATTACAGAAGGATAAGGAGAGATACATGTCCGAAAGGCGCACTCCAGAGGCCGGTAAAGCTACTAGTGACAAAGATAGTATCGGTTGTCCGCAGAAGCTTCCAGAGGTAATTGTATATATTACATTGAAATTAATTTAGCACATTTTTCTTAATTGACACATTAACTGATCATTATTTGTTTAGGGCATTTCACCTTGTCGACTATATTTAT